CGGCTAGAAGTTTCGTTTAATTATGCAATATGAACATCCATATGAAGACTCATTCCGATGTGAAATCGTACAGTTGTTCGATATGCCAGAAAAGTTTAAAGCAAAACGTAGTTTGCAAAGACACGCAACAATGCATGACAAAAATAGACCAATCTTCAATTGTACTATTATGCAGTAAGGGTTTCTTGAATTATGACTCATTGAAATCACACAAGAAGAATCATAAAAAAAGCTGATGGGGACATTTTAAGTTGAAAAAGGCGCTGTTATTTTGGTGTGATTGATTATTTGTATTTTCTGTTAGATAAATTCTTGTCACTTATTCATTATTTAATTGCTAACAGTCTTCTGTTGTTATCATTGTTGTCGTTTTTTACAATTTATTCATTTTTTGCTTCATATGGATATTATCATCGTTCTTCTTTTTATTTTAGTGAATAAAGTTTTCTGTATCGTGTCATCTTGCTCATCTAATAGCCTTTTCACTATTCATGCTTACATAAGAAGCAGGTAACTTGCAGGCCATGTACAGAAAACTTGCAAGTAAGTATCATTGCTGAAATTACTGATGAAATAGCATTGCAATATAATTGCTTTTGAGTAACTAGAAGCAATACAATTAAAAAAATGTATAATTTGATACAAAATTTAACTGATGAAATGGTGGTAAAGTGACTATGTTCAATTATTTCAAAATTATTTCTATATTGTAAACATCTTTTGATAATGTCTATTATGGATCAGATTTAGTCGAAAATGTCGGAATGTACTTGGTTTTGAGTAATTAAAAGCACTACAATAAAGATACGATAAAAATTGAAGTGGAAATAAATGATAAAATAATAATTCATTGATTATATTTGATCAAAACAAAATTTATTGTCCTTTACAAATACCTTCTGATAATACCTGTTATCAATCGGATATGTTCGATAAAGTTGCAATTCAATTACTTTTGAGTAATTATTTGCAATACAATCGAAAAATAAGGAAATTCAAATAGAATTTGAGTGATAAAATGACAATTCACTAATTACATTTAATCGGAACATAATTAGTTGTACGTTATAAAGTCTTATGATATCTGTCATCGATCGGATATGATCGATAATTTGACAGTGCAATTACTTTTGATTAATTATAATCAGTATAATAAAGAAAAGAAAGATGTAATAATTAAGTCGACCGTCTCGCTCACAAATCTTTCGAATGTTTGAAGCATAACCGCCTCCCTCTTCAAAAATTCCAAAAGATTCGCGACTCTCAGGATCTTCCGGATTAGCCAACATTCTGCTAAATTTATTAATTTATCAAATATGCGTAAAGTATAAAAAATGCATGACAGTTACACTTAAGAAATTTATCAATTGATCGAGCTTCAAAAACCCTATAAGGTTATCATTTCATTTCAGTCCACCTAAAATATGCCTTAATTTAGCCATTGTATAATATTATCTTATTAAATAACATCCCAGATAAAATATTCCTGCAAATATGCAAATACGTCAGAGGTTGCATCATTCTTTTCATCATTATTGAGAAACATGACATTGAGAGATGCAACCTATCTCTCTCATAGTCTCATTTGGAGACAGAACTGCGAATAGTACTACGAATCAACTGCAGGCAAGTGTATTTTGAAATAGTATTTAAACAATGTTAGTTTATTTTAAAAAGTGTCAGACAATTTCAGAAAATAAACTCCGTTCATTTTATTTTCATCATTTATACGTCATATTAATGATATTTTGTGAAGCATTTCTTGTTTTAACGTTAGCAATTATTCCAAGGGAATGTACTAATCGTCGATTTCGTCCATTTTCTCAGACTAAATGATGTATATTGCTATAACAAACGAATTACTTTTTGACCGTTAATCATTATTATTCAAACAATTTGTTATTTCTTTTATCATATCAAAAGACATTCTAATCATTAATTTATTTACACAAAAAAATTACGTGAATAATTTAAAGAATTCAAATTAACAAAATGTTAACACAGATGTCATTATCATCGTCTTATTCTTATCATTAACACTTTTATGCAATACATGTTCAATGCACGATTTGGAAGAAAGGATCTAGGAACAAGCTAATAATTATAAAGTTCAGCAAGGAGAATATTTTACTTATTAACAATTTAAAAATCAGCATGGAAATCTTTTACTACCAATGTTTTCTGACCAAAAGCAATTGTCCTATTGGTTGTTTAAGGTAAAAATGTTCATATTCATTCATTTTAATTTTTTTTTTAAATTTCTTAAATCTTTCTTAAAACTCATTTCAGCCAAATGATGGTTTGCCTGTTATTGCTCTTAAATTTCAATTTATTTCTTTTTCTTTCCTTAGTTCACAGATTTCTCATTTTCAATTTTATTTTTACCATAAATTTACAATTTATTTTGTCATAAAACGATAATACAGCATCAATTTCGGTTCAAAAGTAATTTCTTGTCATAAATTAGAAAAAGAAGAATTATGCGTTGGGTTAGTAACAACAATAGAAGGATATTGAGTTGAATATTGTAACCATGAAGACACTGTTTGATTTTTGATCAGGAAATTCAGCTAACTTTAACTATGTAATTTATAACTTGATCAACGAGCGGATTTCACGGAATTGATTTCATCAATGATTTTCATAATGGTAATAGGCATACATGCATATATGTTCATATGACGTATTATTTTTCCTTAGTCGAAGAAAACTTTACAAACAATAAATGAGAGACTGAAGACTACTTTATAGGTTATCCTGTAAACGACAATCATGACCACGAAGAGAATAATCATGTACTTGATAAAGTTTTGGCTGACTCATCGGTTTTGATATGTAGAATTAGAAGCAGCAACTTTTAAATCACCAAAAATTAAAAACAGCACAATCAGAAGCAGGAACTTTTAATCACCAAGGGTACGACGAAGATGATCAATGATATGATATAGGTTATCATGAGTTGACTTAAAAACATGTAGATAGGTTGATAAATAGATTATTCCGGTTAATCAATGCTATTTGTGTAATTCACTTCCTCAAACTTTATTCGACTAATTTTTTCCCCCCCCCCTTTTGTCGTTTTACTTATTTCTTCGTCATTTTACCTCTCTTCTCTCCTTCTCTCCAGTTTCCTTGCAAGAAATTCTTAGTATTCCAATATAAAACTCTTTGACAACATTCATTATTTTGTACCAAAAATAAATCCTGAATAAATTTATTTAATAGTAACTTGCCATAAAGTTAAGCAATTTTAGGATTTTATTTCATTTATACTTTTTCTTCAATAAATTTATTTTTTCGATATTCTAGAACTAATTTTAGCAAACATATTAATAATTACAAGAAAGTAAGGAAGTAAGTCACAGTAAGTTTACAAAAAAGTAAGTTTACAGTCACAGAAAGTAAGTCATTTTTTCTCGAAAAAAAAATGATTGCAATTTCTTCAAATTTACTTTTATTGATTCAAATATTTTAACATTTCCGGTTTCCAGTAATAATACATCGCTAAACGATCAAATGCATATTCGAAATGATCAAAATCACCATGGTCAATTTCAGCATGTTGAAATGACCATATTGCCCAAAATAATTGAGGAAATGCTGCAAATTGACGTATTTCTTTTAGCAAATATTCAATGGCTACTTCACGATCATCCGGTAAATCAATGATGCATTCCATTTTCTTTCCATTACTATTACGCCAAATCTAAATATTACAAAAATAAAATTTATTTCAATTTAGGCAAAATTTTTTAATTTTTGTCAATTCATCTCTTTAATTTCATTAATCTTTAATCATTTATCTCTTTTACTTTCTTTAGCAATTCATCTATATCATTTGAAATTCATATATACGTGAGGTAATTTTTGTATGTTTATTCTTTCGAAATCATTCGACTGATTGAAATAAGTTATTTAAATTAATGTAAATAAGAGTATTATCATTTTCTAATAAGATTATTATTAGCATTTTGAATTTTTATCCTATAATTCACTATGATTATTCGTTCATTTTTAATAGTCTATATTTCAAAAAAAAAAATTATTTTATGATTTTTGAATGAAAAAAAAAGAATTGTTGTAAATAATATCGGTTTTTTTTTTTTGATTTGCATTTAAAATCACGGATATGTAAAGCTGTTTGTACAAGTGATTAGTAACAGTATCTTCGAGATATAATGGAAAAATAAGAATTATGTTTTTATTAAGATTTGTAAAAGAAGTTGAAAAGTTATATTTTGAAAGAAAAAAGTTAAAACAAACAAAGAAACAAATCTATTATCTAAATCCGTTATCGGTCATCGTATTATTCTCATTTGATGTCAACTTTTTCATCCGCCCACTCAAAAAAAGTTTAAAAAGAAAAGCCTTACTTTATTTGCTTCATCAATATATGCACCAATATATAAACGTTGAATTTCTTCATTTGGCCATTGATTCTGTTTCACTTCATAGTAAGGCCATATCTTACCTTCATTATGTTGACAACATTCCACGCAATAATGACATAAATCAAAACCACTACAATGAAAAAAAAAAACATTATTATCGTTAATTAATTCATTTATTTAAAATTAATTTAATAAGGAAATATGCTTTCGAATTAGTGTAAAGTTATATTAAATAACAGTGATATAAAAAAATGATATAATAATATATTGTATGAATTATTTATTTCATTTAAAATTTTAATTCTAATTTCAGCAATGTTATAATCAATACATTCTACTGTTACAATTATTTCTACACTATACGTGTTTACGTAATAACTTCACGTATTACAATTATTTCTACACTATACGTGTTTACGTAATAACTTCACGTATTACAATTATTTCTACACTATACGTGTTTACGTAATAACTTCACGTATTACAATTA